GCCAATGTTTGACAATTCCAGGATAGAAATAGCTGGAACAAACGAGGACAGAAATAATTAGACTGCAGGAATACGTGGGAAAAAGACACACAGAACGTGACACATTGTAATACTTTTACATCTTACATAAAGTGTTTAGGAAAATGTCCAGGTCACTTTTCTACGGTGGCTAAGAGAGCTCAGCGCGCTGCAACTGAAGAAAACACATGCAAATAGAAAACCATCCGCAAATTAAGAAAACATCTTCATCAGTTTTACAACACATGTGTGCTTCAAATACTCAACACAAACACAGAAACGCGCTGCAAACAGAACAGAACACAATGGAAATGTTTCCAGGGGACCCCAATAAGTGACGAACCCGGTACGTGCTTATAGCTCAAAGTCTACTTTTTTTCTTCTTTTTTTTTTTTTTTTGCAAAACATACAAAGATGTTTATGACTTATAACTTTATATAGCCTACAATATGTTCAATGTCATCAGAATACAAATGAGTAAAGAAGAGTTAACAATGAGCTGAAAAAAAAAAGAAAAAGAAAAAAAAAAACATGGGGGTAACATTTTAATCTATACACAAATTTTTTCATTTTATGTTTAAATAAGTTTCATAAGAAATGTAAGGTAACGCAGGGTCCAAAGATGAGAAGGCAAGTTTTAAAGTTGAGACACAGATATATAAAGCATATTTTAAAAACCTTTTTGTATAAAATGTTTATTTATTTGCAACAGTTATTAAGTTAACAGCAATAATAAGAAATTTCTGTCGTAAAAACAGCTTTTCAGCTGATGGACACCGTGTTGCGTTGTCATAGGAACATCTCAGGTGAAAACATGAGGAAATTACGTTGTTTTTCTTTGCTCCCTCATCAAGTGTGCTCCACACGGCTACATGATGGCACTCAAGTGCCCTGCTCACTCCAAAGTCCCACTTCAAGGTTTCTGTATTTGGTTGTGTTGAGTATTTGGAGCACACGTGTTGTAAAACTTTTTTTCTTAATTTGCGGGTGTTTTTCTATTTACATGTGTTTTCTTCAGTTGCAGCGCGCTGAGCTCTCTCAGCCACTGTACTTTTCACCCCCAAATCATAGAATACAAATAAATATATAAAAAAAATAAAGATTATTATTTAAATTAAGCACCTGCTTGCCCACCTTCCCCACAATTACTGTAGTGCCACAAAAAAAAAAAAAAAAAAAAAAATTTAATTTCATATAAAAATAATACAATAAAATAGTTTAATGCAAGAAGTAATTATTCTTAAATTAACTAAAAATAAGTATGATTCTTATCAATTTTTAAAGTATTACAGTTTTTCTCAGTCGGTTTGGTACATTTCTCGAATCATCCTCGACATTTGTACAACAGTAAGTGCATTTCTCAAAACAATTCATACAAATAGCAAAGCACCATGGATTTCCTGCAGAAGCTAGTCTCTTGCTCAACATCCTTAGTTCATCTCTCAAAAGTAAATATAAAATATCTGTGTCAATGAACATGTCAGTGCCATCAGAAGGACAAGTCCTTGTGTCATTGTGTACGGATAAGACGGTCAAATTGCTTAGTCATGTTGTCAGTATAACAGTGTACTCTGGAGGGATGTTCTGATGTTAACTATGGCTATTCAACAGAGACCCATTATAATACATTTTGATCAACATGACATAAGCAATTGATAATGTAGGAAACAGCAGAGAATTGTACATAATCATTTGCATGGATGTACCAAAGCATTTGCAACTTGTTCAAATAAATGAGAAACTGCTTTTTGACACAATGATGTGAAGATTGAACATGTAGTTTTGAGAATTTCAATTCTAATCTGAGAAATGTACCAAAGCGACTGAGAAAAACTGTAATACCATTAAGTGTTTATGGTAAAAACTTTTAATGAAATAATTATCATTATTTTGTCTGTACCAGATTATTTTCCTTAATGTGTTACAGTATTTATAATCTAATTATAATCATTGAGGAAAAATTACAATTCCCAAAAAAATGTGTCTGGATACATTACATTTATTTGCTATGAAAAAAAATGTGCATACATTTTTTTAATGCAAAATATAATTTCTTATTTTCACTTGGTCATGTGGTTTGTGCTTTTTTGTAATGCAGTAGGGTCATTATTGTTATGATTCCTGTCTCGTGTTTAAGACTCTTATTTTGAAGTGCATTCTTGTTCCTATTGTTCCTGGTGTTTGACTTCCTGTGATTAGTTCCTGTTTCCTTTGTTTCCATTGCCTTGTTTGTTCCTATAGTTACCCTCATTAGTTTCCATAGTAACTCATTACCCTCACCTGTTCCTTGTTAGCCTCTTGTCTTCCTGTGTATAAATACCCCCATGTTTCAGTCAGTATTTGTCAGCTGTTGTCTTTGCATGGTTTGTAGAGTTGTTCTGTTCGTGTTTGTTTTGTTTCTTCGTTGCATGAATTACCTTTTTTTTTCTTTAATAAATACTGTTTGCAATTCGATCCAAGCCTCTCCTCTTCCCTACATCAACCGTGACATTTATGATTAGTTTCCAAAATTAAAGTGAAAATAATTGAGTCTGTGAAAGACGTTTAGTTAGTTATACTAGTATTCTAAATGTTTGATAAAACACTAGATTTTACACATTTTTGCAGCTGCCATCACAATTCAAGAGCGTTACAGTTTCACCATACTGTATTTTTTTCACAATACTGTACATTTTTATATTTATTTGCTCATATTGTGACATTCTACCGGTAATACCAAGTAAATGTCTTCTTGTAAATGCCCTCTAAACGTGGCCATATGCCTCAACTTCCTTGTCTATGACTTCCTCCCATGTGTGTTGTTACTGGAGTACTGATAAGAGTGGCCTTTATCTCTGCAGTGATGATTACTTTTCCTGTTTCTTCATGCATTTTCTCCAGCCCACAGCTGAAGCCTTGAGAGGAGCCATCCAGCTTGGCATTGGGTACACAGTCGGCAATCTGACCTCCAAACCAGACAGAGATGTTCTCATGCAAGACTTTTACGTTGTTGAGAGTGTCTTTCTCCCAAGGTACAGTATTAATGTACATGTACCGGGCTTCACACTCGACAGATGTAATGTGTGGTTGCCATTTACTCACTATTCAAACACTGAGATACAATGGCCCTGTTTCAAATGTCAACAGTTCTGTTGTATTTTGATATAAGCTTGTTTAATATTTTCTGCATGATTAATTAGCAGAGCTGAATTCCTACTGCAATCTGCAATTGGTCAGTAATTGGTCAATGCCTAAAAATGCTAGGTTTTGAAAAAGTGCGACACAGTTTTGTTTTAATAACGAATATTTGAATATTGTATCTTTTGTCTTTCAGCGAAGGCAGCAATCTGACCCCAGCTCATCATTACCCTGACTTTCGCTTTAAGAATTACGCTCCTTTGGCTTTCCGTTACTTCAGGGAGCTCTTTGGGATTAAACCAGACGATTATCTGGTAAGACTAAGATAATTATTTACAGTCAAGAATCCTGAAATTCTAGAGAATTTCTCAGGAAACAGTACCATTTGTACCATAAAAAAAGAAATTTCAAAAGATCATATTCTCCACAAAAAAATTTCAGGGCTATATGTAGAAAAGCATTCAATTCATGTGTCATTGAACGGAAGAGAGCCTCGTGTAGACGTCACATACTTTGGATTTTCCCAGCGAAAACGTCCCGATTCCTTCACATAATAAATAGTCTACAGGCTTTCATAGACATCTAAGACTTTTAAGTTTTTTTTTTTTTAAGTTTCGTTACAAGCTGTTCACACAAATTCCTTACATGCAGGTCCTTCTCAAAAAATTAGCATATTGTGATAAAGTTCATTATTTTCCATAATGTAATGATAAAAATGAAACTTTCATATATTTTAGATTCATTGCACACCAACTGAAATATTTCAGGTATTTTATTGTTTTAATACTGATGATTTTGGCATACAGCTCATGAAAACCCAAAATCCCTGTCTCAAAAAATTAGCATATCATGAAAATGGTCTCTAAACAAGCTATTAACCTAATCATCTGAATCAACTAATTAACTCTAAACACCTGCAAAAGATTCCTGAGGCTTTTAAAAACTCCCAGCCTGTTTCATTACTCAAAACCGCAATCATGGGTAAGACTGCCGACCTGACTGCTGTCCAGAAGGCCATCATTGACACCCTCAAGCAAGAGGATAAGACAGAAAGAAATTTCTGAACAAATAGGCTGTTCCCAGAGTGCTGTATCAAGGCACCTCAGTGGGAAGTCTGTGGGAAGGAAAAAGTGTGGCAAAAAAACGCTGCACAACGAGAAGAGGTGACCGGACCCTGAGGAAGCTGGAGAAGGACCGATTCCAGACCTTGGGGGACCTGCGGAAGCAGTGGACTGAGTCTGGAGTAGAAACATCCAGAGCCACCGTGCACAGGCGTGTGCAGGAAATGGGATACAGGTGCCGCATTCCCCAGGTCAAGCCACTTTTGAACCAGAAACAGCGGCAGAAGCGCCTGACCTGGGCTACAGAGAAGCAGCACTGGACTGTTGCTCAGTTTTGCATGTCATTCGGAAATCAAGGTGCCAGAGTCTGGAGGAAGACTGGGGAGAAGGAAATGCCAAAATGCCTGAAGTCCAGTGTCAAGTACCCACAGTCAGTGATGGTCTGGGGTGCCATGTCAGCTGCTGGTGTTGGTGCACTGTGTTTTATCAAGGGCAGGGTCAATGCAGCTAGCTATCAGGAGATTTTGGAGCACTTCATGCTTCCATCTGCTGAAAAGCTTTATGGAGATGAAGATTTCATTTTTCAGCACGACCTGGCACCCGCTCACAGTGCCAAAACCACTGGTAAATGGTTTACTGACCATGGTATTACTGTGCTCAATTGGCCTGCCAACTCTCCTGACCTGAACCCCATAGAGAATCTGTGGGATGTTGTGAAGAGAAAGTTGAGAGACGCAAGACCCAACACTCTGGATGAGCTTAAGGCCGCTATCGAAGCATCCTGGGCCTCCATAACACCTCAGCAGTGCCACAGGCTGATTGCCTCCATGCCACGCCGCATTGAAGCAGTCATTTCTGCAAAAGGATTCCCGACCAAGTATTGACTATTGAGTGCATAACTGAACATAATTATTTGAAGGTTGACTTTTTTTTTTGTATTAAAAACACCTATTTTATTGGTCGGATGAAATATGCTAATTTTTTGAGACAGGAATTTTGGGTTTTCATGAGCTGTATGCTAAAATCATCAGAATTAAAACAATAAAAGACCTGAAATATTTCAGTTGGTGTGCAATGAATCTAAAATATATTAAAGTTTCATTTTTATCATTACATTATGGAAAATAATTAACTTTATCACAATATGCTAATTTTTTGAGAAGGACCTGTATAGGCCCTTAAAAATGTAATGTTTTAAACTTAATAATGGGCTAAAATGAACAAAATTAATGTTGTATTTCAAATGTTGCATCACATTAAACAATATATTAGTCAATATATTGAATAATAGGACAAAAATAATAAATAAGTAATAAAAAATAAAGTTTAGCATCCTGTAAATTATGTCATTGCAAAGTCATTGGGAGACAAACGAGGCAGTGTTATTTTTGTATTTTTTTACTATTCTAATATTTATTCATATATTGATATTTACTTCAGTTTTAGTTTTAGTACTTCAATTTAAACTTATTTTATTTCAGTTATTTGGCAAGGCAGCATCTAATTTTTGTTTAATTTGATGTTTTTCAAAGTTTTAAGTAAGTTTTTTGATATTTATATTTTGTTTTATTTTAGCTTCATTTCATTTTTTTTTTTTTTTTAGTTTCAGTTTTAGTGAACATTAACAACACAGAAATGAGACCATTTGAAAATGAAAGTGCACGTGTGTTTGTAGAATCTGCATTATTAATGCGTATTTTCATCTGCAGTACTCTATTTGTAAAGAACCTCTGATCGAGCTGTCGAACCCTGGAGCGAGTAGCTCGTGGTTTTACTTAACCAGTGATGATGAGTTCATTATAAAGACTGTGCAGAACAAAGAAGCTGAATTTCTGCAGAAGCTGCTTCCAGGTTATTACATGGTGAGCCACACAACCTGCCACAACTGACAACAATACAGGCAGAAACTGCACTATACACTGCTGTCTTTTTAGTGAATCTTTTTTTCATCTAAAACATCCCAGTTCCTCACATTTAAAATTAACATTTAAATATAAAAATGAGTAATGCAGACTCAAGATAATCATTGTATTGCCGTTTCATGGCCCTGTTTACTGTAGACATACAGGACTACACTGCACATTAAAAACACATTAAACAGTCAGTTAACAGTCAACCCCCACTATCTTCTGGCAATTTTACAGTAAGTATACCATATTTTTCTCTTTTAAAAAACGTATCTGTCCTTCTCGATTGCAGAATCTGAACCAGAACCCAAGGACCCTCCTACCGAAGTTTTACGGGCTGTACTGCATTCAGTGTGGCGGTGTTAATATCAGATTGGTGGTGATGAACAACATTCTGCCTCGCTCTTTGAAAATGCACTACAAATACGACTTGAAGGGCTCCACTTACAAACGCAGAGCGTCACGGAAGGAGCGTGGCAAATCCTCCCCGACCTTTAAAGATCTGGACTTCCAGGAGATGCACGAAGGCCTTTACTTCGATGCAGACACGTACAGCGCCTTGATGAAGACTCTTCAGAGAGATTGTCGGGTGAGTCGTATTGTTGAACACTTTAAAAGCCAGTTGCGCTCACGCCATGGCGGATTCGCTATTTACATGTGCATTTTTTTTTTTTGCGGAATTTGCAAGCGGAAAGACCGAACGCTTCTCCAGAGAGCAATCGGATCTGCTCGTGCACAAAGTTAAAGCTCTCAAGCAGACCATTCCACCATATCATTATGTACATAATAATAATATTTTAATTCTAATGTGCTCATCCTTCCCTCGCATTTTGTAACAAATCCTTCCCTCGTGGGTCAAAATGATCCGAAGCCCTAAAATTATACTTAACTTTTTTTTTTTGTCCAGAAACCTTATTTTATTTCATTTTGATCATATTTTTTCTATTTTTGAATGCAATTTTTTGGGAAATAAATAGTAATTTAAGCACATTCCTCACATTTTTTTCACCTTGTAATTCAAAATAACACAATTTTATGCCTAAACCTTTTAATTCAGCTCAAAATATAAAAATGATATTTCATGACTCTAGCCACTAGATGGCCCTATTGTAGCCTGACTTCGTCATACTCATATTCTAGTCAGAATGTGAGTCTGATACTGCTCCATAGGGCTTTGATTATGAGGCGTGTCTTAACCGAACCAGGAAAAAAAAACTCTGCACTCAATTGGATAGACCTACAACCAATGAGAGCAACGCAGTAAGTCAACTACTTTGCATAGCACAGTTGTCAACTACAGAACTCAAATGCACGCACGCTGGAAGAAGTAAAATAACGAGTGTTGCTTCTTTTACTTGGTCCTCTATGAGTGCGACCAAAGGAGAAACCACAACGACCACAGGGTTTCATTGCGTCCCATCTTCTTAGTGACCATCGGAGCCAGCTGATAAGTTACACTTTTGCCGAATCCTGAAGGAAGGACGGCAAAAATATCTTTCCGATCGATAAATGCCTTGATTGCAGTTTTCTGTTCGTCTATTAAAATGAATGCGCTGTCGATTTATTTTACAACAGGCGCGATAGCGGGATCTATACATCTCAATTCTTCAGCTGCAGTCATCGCGCTCTTTGATAACGTGATGATTACGTCCCTGCAGACCATCTGTCCATCATCGTATAAAGCCCCCCCTGGCAATTTGATTGGCCCGAACATTTTTTGACTGATCATAATTACTCCTCAATGGATTGAGTCCAGACCAAACTTCTCGACCAAAAAATGTTATGGGCGGGGTTCGGGCTGGCATCCAGGCTAGCCTTATAGCACTAATTGGAGCAAATGAGCTGTTTCCCCTGGGACCTAAAGTCAGTTTTTCTTAAGGATGCATTCAGACACACATGTAGACATTATAAAATAATTTTATGTGTACTGAAGCATTCCTCGCATTCCATTCATTCCTGATTTGTTACTTTTTTCCATTTCAACCACAAAACTCCTCGAATCCATTCAATTTTGTTGTGTGTATTCGTGGTTCAAGTGTGACAAAGGTCAATTTTTTTTAAAAAGGACACAAAATATTCTGGCTCAAAATGACCCAAGGGGAGGATGAAGGTTAAATAACAAAAAAAAATAAACACTGCACCATTGACTTCAGACCAGGTTTCAGTTGGTCAGTGGCGCAGTCTATTTCAGTTACCTCAAAATAGCAACTCGCCAACAATGCGCCTGAACACACTTCGTTTTCAGACCAGCGCATATTTTTTTTTCATGGGCGCAAAAATAAGCACAAATGCATTTGCTATTTAAACAACGTGGCGCAGGACATGAAAATGATAACTGCGTCAGGCTGAAACTTGCAAAGTTTTGCATTGCGCCGGTTGTATGATAGAGCCCTATCATTTGGCATTATAAGTGACTTGTGGTTGTGATTTCCATTCATTTTCTTCCTCAGGTGCTGGAAAGCTTTAAAATCATGGACTACAGTTTGCTGCTGGGAATCCATGTTCTGGACAGGAAGATGAGGGGGAGAGGAGGCCGAGGGGACAGTAAGCGTCAGGGTGGGCAGAAGGTCCTGTACTCCACAGCCCGCGAGTCCATTCAAGGAGACGGCAAAGCTGCCGAGCCTCTCGCTGACGCCGACGACGACACGTGAGTGAAACCGCTCCGTTTTCAGAGTAAACAGAAATAAAAGTTGTAAGCAGTTTATGTTGTTTGGCAAACTTTCACCACACGCCCTTTCTCCAAAAATATATCCTTCAAAGACATGTCAGCCTACTGTTCAAAAGTTTGGGGTCAGTACTTTTCGTTTAAAAAAGAAATTAACACTTTCATTTAGCAAGGATGCATTAAATTGATAATAAATGCTGTTGTTGTTTTTTTGTTTTTTACTTTATATTCATCAAAGAATACTGAAAAAAATACAGCAGTTTCCACAAAAATATTAGGCAGTAATGGCTGCTGAAAATTCAGCCATCACAGGTATAAATGGCATTTTAAAATATATTTAAAAAGAAAACTGCTATTTTAAATTGAAACAATATTTCACAATGTTACTGTTTTTACTATATTTTTGATCAAATAAATGCAGCCTTGGTTTTAAGTTGTTTGGCAAACTTTCACCACACGCCCTTTCTCCAAAAATGTCATTCAAAAGTTTGGGGTCAGTACTTAAAAAAAAAGAAAAAAGAAGAAATTAATGATTTCCATTACACGAGAGTAGATGTTAAAACTTCATGCTGATTTGTACTCGGCTTTCGCCAAGATAAGCAACACTAAGACGTAGCTTTACAGTAAGCTATGCTTCTCCATCCATTTACGCTTCTTTCCATATGGTGGTGTGACTCCCCTTCTGTCCGGCGTTAACGACTGCAGTGTACTTGGCGCGTCAGCACACGCGACGGCTGCAACTACAGGACCAGCACGACAACCGTCTGGATTGAACCGAGTAGGGGACATCTCTAGGGTCTTCAAGTGGGCACCTTCCGTCCTCAGTGTTTCGTCGACTAGCCCACGACACCTCAAGAGGGCTCGACAGTGACTCTGGCGTCCCAGAGTCACCCCCCTCCGTCCCCCACTCAACTCAGCCCAGCTTACTGACCTCTACATCCCTCCTGCTGCTGAGACCTAACCACAATATCACAATCTCTCCGCGACCCAACCATACGCGCCAACCCGTTTGACTAAGGCTGTCGAGCCCCACTGGTGCGTTAATGCAGTTTCAGTGGCAACGGTTCCGTATGGCATACCACCTACCGCAAAACACAATATCTACCCAACCACCCGTCACCAGTCGTTTTCTCGTTGGTTTCTCACGATTCAGACATCCAGGAAATGCACACTTTACAACCATTTTAAACATGGAGACCCGTGAGCGTCATCTTCTCAGTTCTCGCGCATGCGTCGTGTTGCTCTCGTGAACTCACTCACAGGCCCACACAGAAGAAAGTGAAGAGTTGGTGTTAGTAGAGTATTAGTAGACTGGTAGTGTTCGGGTTAGAATAAGTTGACATGTAGTTGCAAAGTTACTTATAGTCAGTAGAATGTCTTTTGGGGGAACATCACAATAAATATCAGATATTAAGCAGACAGTCTACTAATACTCTAATGAGAGTTAGTGAACATGTAGTTGCAAAGTTACTTATAATCAACAAAATGTTCAAAAGGGACCATCAAAATAAAGTGTTACCTACAATATTACTGTTTTACTGTATTTTTTTTTTTTTTTTTGTTATCAAATAAATGCAGACTTGGTGATATATATGTTATACCATGGTCATTTACCAGCATTGACAACTTAAAGCTTTGATGTTTGAAAATGTATGTTTGCAGCTCGTAGATCCGTCCACTTTGAATCAGACTGAGATAAAGTAGTGCATAAGATTACATTTAATTGAATTAATGAATTATAGAATTAAATTTAATTAATTGTTGAGAGAGAGAGAGTTTATTACCTGTGTCTCTTCAGCATCTCTCTCAATTATATTAACAATGATGTTGTAAGTTTAATTTAAAACCAGCAGTATAACCCCCTTGTTACTGAGAAATATAATGATGTAGTGATTCAGTTGCAAAGCTATTTTATTACTAAAAGTCGCGGGGCAGCATTGAAAAGTCTCTGTGCTCCTGAATGTTTCTGTGTGTGCGCAGCGCAATCTCCAATTGACATATGTGTGTGTGTGATTCAACGAAAACAGCGCATTAATATAGAACGGTGATTAAACTGACTGGAACTACCTGTGCATTAAACGCTTTTATTGCACACCTTCCGTCCAATCAGAATTAAGTATTCAAAAAGACCATGGTATAAATATATATATACAATTCTTTCATTTTGTTCCTGTCAGCTAATCTGAATACACAAAATGATTCATAGAACAAATAGTGTTGTCAGGGAATCTGATCGACTAAAAAAGGGGGGTATCAGAATGTCAAAAAATGTAAAATGCTTCCTCTGTTCTTTTAAAACATTTCCAATCGATTTTATGACTGACCTTGGATTAGTTTTGAAATAATCATGTGCTTTTTTTTCTAGAATGGGTGGCATCCCTGCTAAACACAAAGAAGAGAAGTTGCTGATCTTTTTGGGGATTATTGATATCCTGCAGTCCTACAGGTATGAGTCTCCTTATGTTACCGTTCCTGTGTTTCCTTTCTGTGTTTAGTTCCTGTTCCCTTTGTTAGTTTGTTTCTATGGTTACCTGTTCTTCATTTAGTTTCCTTTGATTGTATCTAGTATTTGTACTCCCTCGCTGCATCCGAAATCAAATACTTCCCTACTACAGTATATAGTATGCGAAAAAACAGTAAGCCAAAAGAGAAGTTTGTGCGAATACATAGTATTGGAAAAACAGTGAAAAGTTCCCGGATGACCCACTACTTCTGGTGAGATTCTGAAGTGTGTCTTCAATGGACACTTTACTAATCCGGTCATGTGACATTATCAACATGGCAAATGTAGTACGTCCGGATTACATTCAAACTACACACATTCATACTTGTATAGTGTGTACTTTTTTAACGGTCGCGATGTAAATTCAATTCGATTTCGGTTCTTGTCTGAGATTACGTTTGTGTTAATGTGTGGTTCTTTGTGATCTCCTGTGTTGAAAATGTTGAATACTGAATATGTCTATCTTATATACATAGATTTATAAAGAAGGTTGAACACTCATGGAAGGCTCTTGTGCATGATGGTGTATGTATTTTTCCCTTTTTTAAACTGAAATATTATTTTATTATATACTACTATTTGAACATCATTATGATTTATGGCTCTTTGCAACTTTGCATGCTAGGACACAGTATCTGTCCATAGACCTAATTTCTACGCTGACAGATTCCTGAAATTCATGGGTGGCACGGTATTTAAAAAGATTCACCGTAAGTTTAATTCTTCTTTATTATTTACAATGGAGTTATGATCATTTGAAATGCTGTACCACATCTCACATTTCTCCCTCTTTCTTTCCCCCCTTCTTTGCTTTTAGCTCTCCGTGGAGCGTCCTCGAGAAGGAAGAAGAGCTCTATCCAGTGTCGGTCCGCCTCACAGGAGGTCCTGTCGACTGTAAATGAAGAGAGTCAAGAAGAGAGGAGGGCGCTAAGCCTCGAAAAACTCGAAAACATCGATGATACAGGTGCTTCTTGTGCAAGCCGACTTAGAAGAGTACTTCCCTATTACACACATTTATAAATCTTACAGTTTTACTTAAAGGAACAGTTCAACCAAAAATGATATTTAATTTATATTTAGTGCATATCATTCCAAACATGCATGATGATGTTATTTTTGGAGCAAATAATCAAATGTAATGCCAAATTAATAGTTTTACATTAAAGTAGGTTTTAAATCATTAGGTCTCATTCATGAAACATTCGTAAATATACGAGTAAATATGCTGGTGATTTGCGCGTAAAGAGACCTTCCCGAAAACTCTTCTCTTGATTCACAAATACTTCGTAAACGTCAGATGTGATAGTGAAATGTGTGTGTGTGTTAATGAATTCCAATCAGTCGTAAATGGGATGCGCGTGCACGTTCATTCTCAATTACCATAAATCCCGCCCATTAAATCCGACTGACACCTATATATGGGCATCATATTATGACATGAATGCGAATGAAAAAAAAAATTCTCAGATGCAGAAATTGAAGTTTTATTATCAGAAGTTCATTCAAAACGCCACATTTTATTTTCAAGCGTACATAGTGGTGTATCGGGTCCGAAAAAAAAGGAAGCTTGGCAGCATATTACAGATGCAGTTAATGGAGTTTCATCTGTTAATCGAACATTCCCAGAAGTGAGAAGAAAATGGTTCGACATTAAGCTTGAGAGCAAAAAACTAATTAGTTCACTTCGGAAAAATAGTATTCAAACTGGAGAAGGACCACCATCGCAGATGCTATTACTGGCTCTCATAATAAGAAAAACTGTATGTAATTACTATATATAATATTTTTTCAAAATTTTGTGCAAATATGTACCCGATTAAGGTGAATTAAAATGCAGCCTTATTAATGAGCAAAAATTAATGAGGGTGTTAAGCGTACCAACTAACATTTGGAAAATACGAACATTTTAATGAATCCGAAACTTTACGCCAGAACCACTTTACACACGATTTACACAAAAATTCGTTCTGCTCGTGTTTCATGAATGAGACCCATTGTGTTTTAATAGCCTTTTGTAATGTTTTCAAGAAGTACACTTAATTTAATGTGTTGACTAACATACTAAAGCACATGCAAAAAAGTACTTGATTATAGTTTCAACTGTAGTGCTTTTGTAATGATGCAATGAGCGCATGATTAATGGAGTACAACAAACAAACAGTCTTTAATCAAAATCCAACTAGGAAACATGCAGGAGAATAACTAGGAGTAAAGATACACAACCACGTATAGCGAAACTAAGGGCTTAAATACACAATTGAGGCTAATCATCAGAAACCGAAACAGGTGCGTACCTTAATCAGTAACCAAGGAAACTAACTGGTGGCGGGAAAATGAGAACAAAGGAAACAGGAACTAGAACTAAAACAAAACATACATGTGACAGTGTAATACAATATTACAACCCGAATTCCGGAGAAGTTGGGACGTTTTTTAAATTTGAATAAAATGAAAACTATAAGACTTTCAAATCACATGAGCCAATATTTTATTCACAATAGAACTCCAGACACTCATAAACTCGATGCCCAGACGTCTTCAAACTGTTTTGGAAAGAAGAGGAGATGTTACACCATGGTAAACGTGCCCCGTCCCAACTATTTTGAGACCTGTAGCAGGCATCAAATTTAAAATGAGCTCATTTAGTGGATAAAAGTGTAAAATTTCTCCGTTTAAACATTTGTTATGTTATCTATGTTCTATTGTGAATAAAATATTGGCTCATGTGATTTGAAAGTCTTATAGTTTTCATTTTATTCAAATTTAAAAAACGTCCCAACTTCTCCGGAATTCGGGTTGTATATTTAAAGTTCATTTTAAATTGCAACTTCATCACAAATGTGTAATTACAAATATATGTAAATACATGACACACGTATTGAAATTACATATAAAGATGTACTTAAGTCCTACTTAAGTGGGTAAAAAAGCCATTTAAAATAATTTAATTTAATTTAAATGCAATTAAGTGTCCAAAAACAATACATCATTTCATATGAAGTCTATTCTATTCTTCTGAAGTATATCATTTGCATAAGTACTCTTTTTAAAAGTATAATAAAATGTACTTCTATTTTTACAAGGGATGCCATACAATTGAATATTTTTGACATTTAACATAAATAATTTCTTCCCATGCTACTTCTTTATGACAGATAAACCCTCCCCTCAGAAACCTGATGTTATTCCAAGCTCCACAAGACTCGATCCAGCTGTTTCCGTGGCCACTTTGTCTTCTGCTTCCTCTTTAGATGATGTGAAAACTGAACTACAAACAGAAAACAGGTGTTTATTTAACACACACACACACACACACACACACACACACAAACACGCACACGCTCACAACTTCTCATCACACAAAACTTTCTGCATTTTTACATTTTCAAAAAAAAAAAACGTAATTTCGTATGATTTATAGGTTGTTTTCCTAACACATTTTTGGTCCTCATAACGTAGTGAATACCAGGACCACACACACACACACACACACACACACACACACACACACACACACACACACACACACACACACTAATATAGACATATTAGTTTAATTAAAAAGGTCTTTGTGAACTTTCATATTTCTTTACAGAACTTAAATACAATGTTATTGCCACCAAAGCTTTCTGTCTGACTTATCACTGGGTTTTTTTTCTTCTTTTTTGTAGAACGTCCAGCTCGACTCTTGCTCTGGAGGACGGCATTCCTCCTCTTCCGAGCACACCCGAGTCTGGTCTGGACGTCTACCTGGTCAGTTAAATCACACATATCCCCTTTCTCATTACATGCCTTGTGTCGTAGTTCCCCTGGAACTCAAACTCTTTTGTGTCATTCGCTCCAGATCATTGACTGTGGCTTATATTGTTTTCTTTTTAAGTGATGCGTAAGGCTTTCTGAAGCGGACCAGATCATCGAAACATTGCTGTCTCACCCGTCACTCCACAACTTTGCACAATGGATATCTCTAGCTGCTAATTCACATGGACTGAGAAAAGCCTTACGTCTGAAACCATGGCAGAGTGATTGCCACACTATAGTACTGCAGTGCCTTACACTGTGCACTTTGTACCCACTTGAAAACACAAGTTTGTTGCATAATAATAGTTACACTCCCATTAGACCAGTGTACTGTAACTGTCTCATAAATGCACTGGTCGGTACGCATGTTAAAGCTGTGACACCTGATTAAAGCATGTGTCATACAAAGAAATGTATAATTTATTCTATATGAATCATGGTATAATTATATTGTGAGCACTCCTGACTTGTATTGTGTGAGTAATGATTTCATTCATTTATTTGATCATTACAGTACAATGACTAGTACCAAAAATTAAGTTTTGGTCATGTGATTTTGACGTACAATCGGCACAATTATAATGGTCTATGTTACTTTGTGTAAAGATTTAAATGGGTTTAAAAGTTAAAAACCATCAATCTTTAAAAAACTTTTTATAAAAATGTATTTAAATATATTTTGATTAGAGTAATATATTAATTAAATGTGCTTTTATGTATAATGTTTTTAGTTGCTATTAAATGCTGCATCTTCAGTAGAACTTTTCTACTTTTTCTGCCTCGCATGAATTTGTCTGTCTATAAAATATGCCTGAAGAGCTGCAAGGTATATTAATGCACCAATAATTCTTATTTCAAGTTATTCTAATGTTTAATTAATGTAATTAAAAATAGCAGTTATAAAATATGGAGTATCAAGCCTGCAAAAATTAAAAAATAATTAATTAATTCAATTTAATCCTGAATTTAATTTTTGTATTTTTCCTTTATATATATATATTCATGTATTCTTACATTTATTTATGCGTTCATTTATTTTTATATTTCCCACATGTATTTATTTCTGCAGGTTTGGTCCTCCATAATAACGTTCGTTCTCTTCATCTGTTGTTGAAGCATAATACTGTAGTGCAAAAGACACTAGTCACTGCTTGCAAAAGACAAATACAATCCACTAGAGGGTGTTTTGGTGTTGTTTATCCCAGTAGGATATGCTCTTTGATCAAACAGGTATATTATGCACTGTATTTATTACATCAAAATGTATATTACAATGGCATAAAGGCCCTCTTAAGGATGATATGCCTATTTCTAGTCTCAAATAAAAATATATTTGTTTTATTGAATTTTGTTTGGTTTGAAGCAACGCAATTCATGTGAAAAGAAATTATAAAAGGTTTATATGATTAATAAACATTTAAATATAAAGATAGGAAGATTAATAATGCAAAATACTGATAAGGCAACATGTGTCACCATAAGCATATTGAGCAAGATATTAGAGGTTTTAAGTACACACTTATTCAAAATAACCCATTTTTCAAATCACTTTTCTTAACATCTTAAATGGCAACACCATAACCTAGAAGAACCGAAAATCATGCTCGTGTCTCAAAATGGATATGATTATTGCACGGAATATAATTTAAAAAATCGGATAAAAAACATTTTAACATTTAGCCTATTAAATGTAATGATAGGCTATTTTTTCGACATTTTGTATTTTTACATATTCTGACCATTATGATAATACAATATAAGGTACAAGTTTAACCACTACATGTCAGAAAGAGTAAACTCTTGCACTGTTTAAAACAAGTGGTTAAATCAAGTCAGGTATGCACAGGAATGAAGCGGCGTGGTCACGTGGTTTGGGAGCGCGCTGCTGGACTCACCTGCGCGCTCACGGACACGCCCATACCTGGACGATCCAGGAAATCTGGGATTGTACGCAGAATCGAGGTGTTCAATCTTTCTCTGGAAGTGTCCAGTCACATATAGATCACCCTGAACCCCGCACGTTTCTGGCAGGAGTTTACGGATCTTCAGTATCGGCGTTTCTAAAGGTAACGTTTCGTTCTTCACACTGGAGCAGTTTTGTTGTTTCTGTCGCATTTCCCTGTTCACTGGTTTCGGTAGTCTATTGTTTAGGGGAGGAGGCTGATAAAAACCTAAGTAATGTCACAGGAACGTACAACACCTGCAGTTAGATTATGTACACATTAATGTGAACTTTAGTACGGACTTGTGTGTGCTTATATGTTCTCGTTGAGTGCAGTTGTCGTGTTTTTGGCAGCGTGTTTCAGGCCTACAGTAGTAGCCTGTCCTGTCATGAAAGACCAGTGTGTTCTCTGCTTTGTCCAGCGTGTTTCTCACGAAAGTGTGTTTTCCTCTCACGCGTGCTTTTGAGTTTCGTGTCATAACGCTGGAGTGTTAAGACGTCTAAGTTCTAACTAAACTTATTTTAAACTTTTCTTTGGATTTTTTTTTATTTTTTTGGTAAACAAATGGAAAAACTTATTTAAAAACAAGAAGTGTTAGATAAAGTTGTTTAAAAGAAAAAAATGTAGGCCTATGTAGTTTTACAATCATGTATTATTTTCCTTAAAAAAAGGTTAACAAAACTGCTTTAAATAATTTGAACTCATCTGCTTAATCTAACTAACATGTAGAAAAAAACTAAATAAAGACAGGAAATGATATCATAGAGCGGACATCCATGACTGTGTCAAAGTCAATAAATCTCCTAAACTATCAGATATTTTTATCGCCATGTTATTCCACAGTTAATGTTCCGCCACAGAATATAAAATAAAAAAGGTCATTTTGACTTTTTATCAAACAATTCTGACTTTTCTTGTAATTACAAGTTTATTTTGCGAGTTTTGTGGGGGGGGAAAGTCAGAATTGCGAGTTTATCTCGCAATTTTGACTTTCTCAGAATTGCAAGATTAAAATTTTAATTCAGATTATTTTCCTCGTAATTAACTAGATTTTTTTAATTAGTTATATCTCACAGTTTTGAGGGGGGGAAAAATCTGAATTAAAAGTTTTAATCTTGCAATTCTGAGAAAGTCAAAATTGTGAGAGAAAATGTCGTGATTACCGAGTTTTGCGAGTTTATATTTCTCAAATCGGACAATCCTAAGAAAAAAAATCTGAATTTCTAGAAAAAAAAGCATTAAGTAGCTTTTATAAACATGCCTTAAAAAAACACATTACTGGTGTCCATCTTGAGACAAAACAATGACAGTGATAAGATATGCCAGTGCATGTTGCTTTCAGTTAAAACATCTTAAACATGCATTTTAGTCTGTGACTATCTTAAGCCTGGTCTGTGAAACCGGGGGCGAGTGTCCTACTCTCATTCCTCATGTCTAGGTGTGAAATGTAATGGACTCCTAGTGTTGTACTGTGACTCAGAGTTTCTCTCATGAGGACAGCGGTGGTTCTATAGGGATGGATGTGATCTCCTGATGAGAATACTTTCTGGTTGTGGAAATAAACCCAGAATAACAGAACTCTTTAACATGACATAATCCTTAAAATCCAGAATTCATCATAACATTTATTTTAAATCCTATTTAAAATAAACTGCTTTATATTATTACAGGCTTATGTTTAACTCTGTGAAGGTAGGTGTGATTGAAATGTGACCTGTTTAATTTGATGATTGAATGTACACATGGCAGTATATGTGCAATGGCAATGCATAATGTAGACTGTGATTCTGCATTAGCCGAACACATGAAGAAAGATGAAAGAAAGCTTAGCTTACACTGCCACGTGCCGCTTACGTAAAGGCATTAAACGACTCGGACAATAGGAGAAATACACGAGAACACACAACATTTTTCAAATACACGAGAAACATAGTTTTTCAGTTTGAAACGATGTTGTTTGTTCACATTTAATATGAGCTTGGCAGAATCAGTAGACTGAAAATAGGAAACTGAAATCACGTTTATGTCTGGTTTCGTAATGCTTTTGAGTTCTTAATCCACTTGAGCTGAATTGAAGGATTTTCTAAACATTATGCTGTGGAATTCATGTGTGCGTCTTCATTTGTTAGATGGCTGTTCATAGAGAGATCATTGACTTGCAAACGTTTCTAGATTTTAAGAATCTTATTATTTTTGGTGTTTTAAAAAAAATATTGTTCATATTAACATGTTCAGGGGTGAATATATATATATATATATATATATATATGTCTACCTTTCATATTATTAGAAAACTTCTGATGCTGGTGCTATTGTATGTGCCTCAAGCATATTTCAAAATCTGTTCAGGTTGGACTGAGTTTGAGTGCCTGAGCAGCTTTTACATTGTGTCAGACTGAAGGACAAAGTTCATTTGTTCATGTGGGTCAACAGTTTAGGACTAAACAATACACTATCAGCAGGATATGACTACTGTAGTATTTCTTATTACTACATACTATTACTGTGGTATGTGTAGCAATAAAAACAGTTCTATGTCTAATTGTAGTAATGAAGTCATCCATTTAAACCAGGGGTCTCAAACTCAACTTAACTGGGGGCCGCTGGAGGTAGAGTCGGGGTCAGGCTGGGCCGCATCAAGTATTCCACAAAAAAATAGTATTCAAGTATTCCAAAAAAGGAGCACAACTGATCCAATCTTCTCAATATTTATTATTAACGTTTCTTCTGAACTGTTCCTCTGAATTTGAACATTCCTTTCTTGGTTCTTCATGAGCTGTCCTTCTGACAGTTGAAGTTCATTTTTACAAACTTTCTTTGTCTATAACTATTTGTGATATTTATATTTGCTTATGTCCTTTTTATTTTCTTTATACAACACATTAATGATATTGAATGTTTTTTTGTTTTTGGAAGGCACATTTCCTTTTATTATACTTAGAAAAACAATTATTGCTTTTGAAATACAAATATTTGCAGTCATGTCTGCCCGTCTTATTGAATTCTTTCTACACATGTATAGTGTCTCAAATTACTGACTACACAAATCAAAGCAAACCTTCTTACGAACCTTTTGGACACATATTATGAGCTCAAAATTATTATTCTCACATTGTTTTAGAGCAGGGTCTCTCTCCAACACGTCGCTCGTGAGCTATCAGTAGCTCGTGGCCTGATTGGTGGCAGCTCGCCAAGGGGCCTGTTCACATATCGCGCTCACATATTTTGCGCGCTCAAGTTCGTTATTTCAAATGTACGCGCGCGGCAAGCGCACTCATAATTGAAGCGACGTGCTAATTTTTTCCAGTCGCAGTATGTTTGTACCTGGTTTGTACTTCGCGGTTGTCTATGACAACTATTGACAACAAACCCACCGTGTCACGAGACTATCTATGGTAGCCCATAAGGGATAAAATTTTTTTTTTTTTTTTTTTTTCGCGGCATACGCAACGACGGGCCGCACTAACATTAAACTTTAATGTCAAGTGGGGGGCCACAAAATATCACCCTGTGGGCCGCAAAT